CTCCCATCGCTCCACCTATAAGCTTTTTGGGAAGGGCCACAACAGTAGCCAGCTGTCCCTATTTCCTTCTATGACGTCTTCTCCACAGCTGCTCCCTTCTCTTCTCAGCTCTTATATCATATCAGGGATATGTCTAATAAATAAATAAATAAATAACCTCCCCCTGTTCCTCCTCACTGCTCTCTGACTCAGATGCCACCTGGTGGCCAACAGGCCTCTCTAGTCCCTGCTCTGACTCCAAACACTCTCCAGAGTCTTCTTCATCCTCCAGAGCAGTCCCATAATGGTCATCGCTGTCAGAGTCCACCAACAGCTCAGCCGGCCGCTGCTGGGCCACAATAAGTTGCCTCTTGAAAAAAAACACTTTTGGGACAACCGTGACCTGGATGACTGAGAATCTCCATAGACACCCGTGGTTGCAATTCAGGACGTTGGCAACCCGCGTGCAATTCTGACAGTTACAGCCTTTTGCTCCATGGGATCACCATTTACAACCTTCACTGCTGGCTTCTGATAGGCAAAGTCAATGGGGAAGCCAGCAGGTGGTCACAAATGGTGATCACATGACCATGGCCAGCACAGAATTCCCCTAACGATGGTAACTGGATGTAGCACAACTGCTGTCATAAGCCAGCATGGTCACGTGATGTCGTGCTTCACAACTGCATAGCTTAGTATGGAGTGGCTGGTCTCATCTCCTGTTGTCAACCGAATACTATTTATATAGACAACTTGAGCTTGGATTTAAAGCCACTTGCTGTCATGTTCAGCCTCTCCTTCCACCAACACTTACTGAATAAGGGAGGCTCATCATCACTACCTCGCTCAACCTCCGTGGAGTTCCCCGGCTCCTCTGCATCTGATGGGTCCAATTCTGCCTTGGGGGAGTTAACAATCACCTCTTCATATGGCTCCAGGTCCTGCAGGGGCACAATCCAAATCAATATGACAGGGTCGAGGCATCACAGAGATTAAAATGTTGATTTGCACAGCAATGATGAACATGAGCCGAGTATGGAAAAACAATGACTTCAGCCTGGCAAACAAATGTAGGTTAGTTTATTGTGTTCCTGGCAGCTACCTAAAGTTGGGAAAGTTGGACCTTAAAAAAGGAAGATAGGAAGAAATCAACTCATTTGAGCTGTGGTGCTAGAGAAGGTTTCTGTGTATCCCTTGGATAGGAAAGGTTGTTCTGAGCGAGGCTTCCCAAGAGCATGAAGCAAACTCCTTGTCAGACAAAAAACCCTTTTATTAATTTACTGTGGATTCTGCTCATTCATATCCAGCAAAGTCTTTCAAGGGAGGATTTACAGTCACCGACCTTAACTGGCTTGGAGAGCTGATTTCTTCC